AGATAACTGCGCCGTTTTTAAGCTTAACGTCTTTCTATGTAAAAAAACAAGAGGCTGTTACTCCATAAAGTCCTATGCGTGAGTCATTATTGTTTCACCAGCTTCTGGAATGCAGATCAAACAAAAAAGGATAATCGGATTTATGTTTTTCAGATTACGATAAAAATGCAGCAGAGAGGGTTCGGGTGATCCTGGCAGAGTCAGGCTTGAAAGGCTCATTGTCAGCTCAGGGCCCTTGCCCCCTCTACACGCATCCCAGACACTGAATAGGACTTCTCCCAGGAAACGCTGCCTAGTCGAACCAACAAAGAACTTTCCTGAGAATATGAAGACTCCCCAACACTCGCCTCAGTTGTCTGCATTACCCAGAAAGTCAGAAGGGCTGTGCTCCTGGTGGAGAACCCGGGCACACTCTCTTGATCTGCTATGAGAGATCGTGAGGTAACAAAACAAGGGCACCAAGAATAATGGGGAGTCTGACGACAGTGTACTTAGGATGCAAGCGAGACATTTCAACGGTTATTATCAGTAGTATTTCTGCATATCAAGCAAGCATCCTAATCTAAGCACTATTCTCATCTCACACTGCATCAATCATTATCGTCAATAGCATAACAATAGTAGAATGGTGCCACTGTGGCAGATAGTTCTGATGTGTTTCCAGTCTAGAGGTAAGCTACCTGTAAGAATATACTTCTACATTGAATGATCAAGTTTATCGGTGTTACATTCAGATGATACAAAACTCCACATTCAAAACACAACCCCAATGTCCTTACTGTTCACTGACTTTTTAGATAGTTAACGAGTCTGCAGAATCTGTGTGGCGATAATGACGTCAACTCTCCATATTAAGTCTCATTTCAATATACCTTCGACGACTTTGTTCTCTTCTTTGTTGTCAATCACGGCAAGTGAAGCAGAAAAGCGTCGTTCACATCTTCCAGACGCAGTATTCCGGTCAACATGTTCATTAAGTAGCTTGTAGCACTTCTCATTCGCTCTCCAGACGCAGTATTCCGGTCAACATGTTCATTAAGTAGCTTGTAGCACTTCTCATTCGCTCTGGACCATTCCTCGGGATAATCTGGTAAAAGGAACACGACCTCCCATGACACTGTGCTGTTCTCACAGGGCTGCTATATATGTGAATGTATCGTCTCCAAGTGGCTTACACAAACTCCACCATTTTCAAACATACATATACCCCCCTTTAAAAGTTTAGACTCACTAGTGTACATGTAGCCACTTACTTCAGTCAGCTGTTCTAAACTAGATTTTACAAAATATTCCATACTGCTTAAAGTTACTGTTTGCACATGAACTGATGTATTGTAAAACATATTCGTAACATTGAAAAGATTAATGTCACATGAATTCAATAAATGATAAAAATCTGTGAAAATTGGCGAATTCTTAACAAAACTTTACACCAAAACGCAGGTGTTTCCATGCACGATATTTGAACATGTTTTTCAGCAATTTGATGCATGATCCTCGTGCAATTCATCTGCATAAAGTTTTCAGCTGGTTCCCCTAAGTTAGTGGAGAAATTCATCTTCGATATAACCACAAACCATATATAAATAATATATAGTGAGTGTTTTAAGTGAGTCTAAACTTTTGATGGGTTGTATATGAACAAATTTACAACCGTTTTCAAACAAGATTAGTTCAAATATTGCTTGTGGATAAATAAGGGATGTTTAGTACTCTTCTCGATCATTAAATATCTGAAACTATTACTATCTGCTTCATTTCTCCAATTTTCGGGCCAAGTAAATAAGTCCAGATAAGGCTGACAGGCAAATAACACCTAATTCATACCTTGATATCTCCCACGGTATACAGCGTTGGTTATATAGGCGAAGCAAGTGATCAGAGTAAGCAACTGCATTTCTGTCCAAACCTCCAAACAGTGTGCTAAACTAACGTGTATCGTTGGCTGGTCACAGATTCAGAGCATCAGCCGGATGCAGATAATGGCTTTCATGGAGTCAGGGTTAATATCCAGACGTGAAAGTGGATTTGAACATATTACGGATTATTAGCATTCTCACAATTAGGTCTTGTAAACCTTTTAGAAAGTTCATGAAGTCTATATCATTGAATATACGAGGTACACTGTCAATGGATACCAGTAGGTCATATATACTCAGAACAATAAGTTAAGCGCCACCGGTTTAAAAAAGGAAGTTCTTCGATTATATGAAACTCAGATTGATTTCTTGATACCTGAGATGCAAACAAAATGACACATCTTTGTTTGACAACGATTTGTTTACTCAACAAAATTCACAACGTCATGACGTCAATTGGATGATTGCATTTTTATGGACATTGTAACCACGAATGAAAACAATGTGTTTTGTATCAATTTGTCAGTGTGAAACACTATTCCCATCGGTTACATCCAGGTCATTATTTTAAACTTTCCGCACTTGAGAAGATATTTAACCATTCTACAGTCAATAGCGTGTGTAGGATCCGTGAGAATTAATGACTACATTAACCCTTCTCGACATGCTACGTATCAGTCTCTGCGGCATTGTCCTATTTCCTCATAGTTCCATGGAGAAAGGAAAAACATCAGCCAAGCATGTAAACAACTTAGTATCCTCTCATGAACGTTTGTTCTCGTTTGTTTCATCTATCTTCTCTATTTATATGACCTACTGACAGCCTTTGACAGTGTACCTCACATATTCACGGATGTGAACTTCACGAACTTACTAAAAGGTTTCCAAGACCTAACTGCGATAAGGCTAACAATCTGTAATATGTTCAAATCCGTTTTCACATCCTGATATTAACCCTGACTCCATGAAAGCCATTATCTGCATCCGGTTGATGCTCTGAATCTGTGACCGACCAACGATACACGTTAGTCTAGCACACTGTTTGGAGGTTTGGACAGAAATGCAGTTGCTTACTCTGATCACTTTGCTAGCCTCCATAGCCCATGCTGTACACTGTGGGAGATATCAAGGTATGAAAAAGGTGTTATTTGCCTGCCAACTTTAACCTGACTTATTTGTAATGCTTCATTTACTTTGCACGGAAAATGGCGAAATGAAGCACTCGCGTCTGATAGCAATAATTTCAGATATTTAATGATCGGGAAGAGTACTAAACATCGCCTAATTATCCATCAAACACTATTTGAACTAAGCTTATTGTTCAATTTGAAATGGTTCCTAGTTATGTTTGAAAACCGTTGAATTTTACGAACGTTACCTGGAGACCGTACATGTACGTGTATAGCAGCCTTGTGGGTACAGCACAATGTCATGGCAGGCCTTGTTCCTTTTACCAGAATGTCCCGAGGACTGGACAAGGGCGAATGAGAAGTGCTACAAGTTTCTTAATGAACATGTTGACCGGGATTATGCGTCTGGAACATGCAAACATCGCTTTTCTGCTTCACTTGCCGTGATTGACAACAAAGAAGAGAACAAAGTCGTTGAAGGTATATTGAAATGAGTTTATGACGTCATTATCGCCAAACACACAGATTCTGCAGACTTGTTAACTATGTAAGAAGTCAGTTACCACTAAGGACATAGGGGGGTTGCGTGTTCAATGTGTAGTTATGTAATTTCTCTGAATGTAACACCGTTAAACTTGATGATGTAATGTAGAAGTATAATTACTGCAGGTACCATAACTCTACATTGGAAACAACCCGTGAATGTCCGGGTAAGAATATTGATCATCAGTAACCCATGCTTGTCGTAAGAGGCGACTAATTGGATCGGGTGGTCAGGCTCGCTGACTTGGTTGACACATGTCATCTGTTCCGAATTGCACAGATTGATGCTCATGCTGTTGATCAGTGGATTATCAGGTCCAAACTCGATTATTTACAGACCGCCGCCATATAGCTGGTATATTGCTGAGTGAGGCGTAAAACTAAACTCACTCACTCGCTCGCTCTATTGGAAACACATCAGACCTATCTGCCACACTGGCACCACTCTACTATTGTATGCTATTGATGATAATGATTGAAGTGGTGTGAGACGAGAATAGTGCTGACAATAGGATGTATGTTTGATATAAAGAAAACAATTATAATACAGATCACAATCTCGCTGTTTTGGTTTGATCTACTTTCTAGAAGCTGGTGAGACAGTTATAGACTTAACCATTGGACTTTATGGATAAGAACTTTTTGTGGTTTACATAGAGTGATGTTAAACTTAAAAACGGTGCAAGAATCTACACCGAAACATCGCTCAACAAGAAGTTAAGTCCTGTGATAAAGTCCGATGCCTTATGATGATCTCGCTGTAATGAGCCGGATATCATATTTTATTTGCTTATTGAAGATGCTTTAGAATTGTGTAGCAGATGCATCGGAAGCCAGTATAGACTAGTTAGCGAGACAAATGATAGAGCAAGCCTCGCAAGGATTTTTTCTATACCGCAAAAAACATGTAATATATATTACACCGTTCATCTGGACGCCGACAGTAAGATTTCACAGTCCGTGATTGAGGCGCAGAAAATGTCATCCTCCATGTTGTCAGCTTGAACTGCATTCTCAGCACAAGCTTGATTTGCACATATTGCTGTGGTGTCTGTATTTTGTAGTCAACAACCTTCCTAATTTCAGAATGCCACTTGACAATTAATACCGGAAGATGTACTTTTTCTATGAATCTGCAGTGGTCAGGCCGATCCATTAGTTGCTTTAGCAGGAGAGTTTTAGTAATTTGAAACCTCTGATTGCCAAATAGTCTACTACGAAACATGAAACAGAATGCTGGATTCATGGTATGATTGAGAAGACCTGATATCTTGGGTCGTTGGACACATTTGTAAATTATAAAGCCACTCTCGAGTGGTACACACATGTCCTCCATGGCTCGGGTGGTACATATATCCCCCACAAACATAGCCTCCAGTTATAGAAACATGAAGCTACTCTGACGTTGTTCAAATACGTGTTCCTAATTACATACAGTTTTCATTTGAAACTAATTTCCTTTTTCTAGATCTTGTCCACGGTCACAGGCACGCATGGATTGGTTTACATCGCAGATACGGACCGTTTCAGTGGAATGAGGATTCTAGGGTGAGAAAGAAAGTTCATAACAAAAGTAATCTAAACACTTAGGAGATAAACGTACTGTGTTCGGAAATTAGATGAATGTTAGACCGAACTGATAGTCTCTAAATTTCATTTGAAGCGGAACGCGTAGCGTGAGGTGTTGTGTGCCGTGTTACTGTACCCCCCTGGCCACACTATAATGGAATCGTCTGACCTACTTATTTTCTTGGAAGTAGACAGTTACGCAACAGTTTGAAATGGCGGACGAGCCAGCGTTTACATTTTGCGAAAGGTTGAAATTCGAAGTGACAGTGGAAAATACTTGGGCCAAATACTTGACTGACTTTCGAATCTGAACCCTGCAGAATCGAAGAATAGATCCTTTTCTGATCGACCTACGACCTGTAACTCATCAAAGACTGTTGATTTTTATGACCGGCGAGTGTCGATCATGATTTCACATAACTGCCTCCACCCCGGCATGTGACGAAAGAGTGACAGTGCTGCTTTGTGTACATGGGATTTCTTGGAACATTGGGACTGGATTGTGGCCAAGTTTTTTTCAAAGTATACGAACATGACAGCCTTGCAGGGAAGGTGGCAGAGAGCGGAATTCTCATGGTTCAGTTTTTGATTTTTTGAACGATGCAACGAGACAGGATGGAGTATGAATGGCATAAATTTTGTTTTTCGCCTGACCGTTATCTTGCGAATTTTCCATTCTAAACGGAAACAAATATACCATTTACCAGGTAGGTAAATGTTTACGAACATTTTGCTGCACAAATAGGGATTTGTTGGGGCTGTGTATTGTAATTGAGTTTGAATATTTTTTATAATAGAAGGTAATAATTATGATAGTTCCCCAATAATTGAGGAGGAGAAATCGTATAATTATATTCTTCGAGTTTTAATAAATGTTTTATCAACCTTTCCATCACGTCTGTTGTGTTGATATTAGTCATGTTGTGGCCAAGCTGAGGTAGTGCGGCAGTGATGTATACGTGCGCAGTGAAGCGCCGTGAAATCAGACGCATTGTCAATCCAAAATTGATACCGTCTGATTTTATTGACTAACCAATCAAATTCGAGCATTTCACGTAGCCATGGAATAATGTACTAGTTTGATTTCAATACATCTCACTGTAAACTGCCAAAATTGTAGAGACACTGAAGACATTGATGAATATATATTGTCACAACATGTTCGGCGTTGTGACAGAAGCGGGATGAGCGGCTAGCTCTTCATTATTGACTTCGTGTGTTTAAAATCTTCCTTTAAACAAACCTACACCACATGATCCTGATGCAAAACATAACTGTCTTTCCTCTACTAAGCGCTGATAGATTTGTTCGTGGTTGTCTAACGCTGCAGCAATATGGCGAGTTTGACGACATGATCCTTTGAGCCGTCTCTAGTGGCAAACATGGGTTCTGAAAACCAATTCTAACACTCACAGGGATATGCTTACGAACCAAAATGCAGATAATCCGGCTTCGATAAGTGAGTCAGCTAAATGTGAGGCATCAGTTACCAAAAAAAACAACCATGAGTGAATTTAGTTTCTTACGCTGCTTTTAGCAATATTCCAGCAGTTTCACGGCGCGGGACACCATAAATGGGCTTCACACATTCTACCCATGTGAGGAATCGAGCCAGGGTCTTTAGTGTGACGAGTGAACGCTTAACGACTAGGCTACCCCACCTCCCTAAAAATCATGAGTGCGGCAATTCCCTATTTGCCTATTTGCTAAACCTGATATTTGATTTCAAACAAACAATTGACTGGCTTTTGCATGTTTTGTAAAGGGACCCATTGTTTGGGCAACAAACGCTTACCTTTTCGTGAACACCTGGTGACCTCACCTACAGACGCTTTTGATATAGTCAGAATCGACAATTTTTGGCAGAGATTCTTTATGAACATATAAAATAGCGTTTTGTCGTGTATATTTCATTAAACGTTCCCGCAGATAGATAGAAAAAAGACGGAAGGATGGATGGGTAGGTAGGTTGGTAGGTAGGTAAATGATGGTTGGATGGAAATATAGACAAGCAGGTAAATAACTACATATCAATGCACAAAAGAACTCACTGTCATGATGTATTTTAGTTGCAGGTCAAATATGTTAACTGGCTGGGTGCTTCTCGACGATACTTGAAGAAGTGCGCAAGGATCCGCGGCTATGATGGCTTTTGGGTGCCTTCCTATTGCTCGGACGACTCCCCTTATGTATGCTGGAAAAAAACTGGTAAGGATCTTACGTCTGTGTGGTTCGAAGCATCAGGGGTATTCAAACCAGAACAGAACAAATAAGAGCTACTTTAAGGTCCATGAAGTGTCAATACTGTATTTGTCTTAAAGAGAATTACGGAACCAGTTTTCTTGACAGAGGTACCAACGTGCACAAAACACAACACAATAAGTGAATACATAATCAGTGTGTTAGACAGCCTCAGAATGATTAATATACGATCAGTACAAATGTTTACTATCAGTTAATAGAGTATGTGTATAACCAATTATTAGAGTGTGTTTACAATCAATTATAGAAGTACATATACGTGAAGAACATTACGTAAACATGACGAGATACATTGCACAAGATACACACTACGTTAGTCAAGGAACATCCTCCAAGGAAGTAATGCAACAGTTTTTATATGGTCGAATACAGCATACCGTGCACACTCTAATGCATTACCCGAGATTTGCCACAATCTATTTGCAGCAGTAGAACGAAGATATACACACAAGTTTGACATGTTCAGTTACCAAAATGACATACAGGTATTGTCAAGGATAATGGAAAACTGTCAACATGTGGCCACCGGGATGTCAGGTATACAGCTAGTCAATACGTGAGGTGGCTACCGGGAGGTAGGGTATACAGCTACTCTGTGTGTGAGGTGGCCACCGGGAGGTAGGGTATACAGCTACTCTGTATGTGAGGTGGCTACCGGGAGGTAGGGTATACAGCTACTCTGTATGTGAGGTGGCTACCGGGAGGTAGGGTATACAGCTACTCTGTACGTGAGGTGGCTACCGGGAGGTAGGGTATACAGCTACTCTGTACGTGAGGTGGCTACCGGGAGGTAGGGTATACAGCTACTCTGTACGTGAGGTGGCCACCGGGAGGTAGAGTATACAGCTACTCTGTACGTGAGGTGGCTACAGGGAGGTAGGGTATACAGCTACTCTGTATGTGAGGTGGCTATTAGGAGGTAGGGTATACAGCTACTCTGTACGTGAGGTGGCTACCGGGAGGTAGGGTATACAGCTACACTGTACGTGAGGTGGCCACCGGGAGGTAGGGTATACAGCTACTCTGTACGTGAGGTGGCTACCGGGAGGTAGGGTATACAGCTACTCTGTACGTGAGGTGGCTACCGGGAGGTAGGGTATACAGCTACTCTGTACGTGAGGTGGCTACAGGGAGGTAGGGTATACAGATACTCTGTATGTGAGGTGGCTACCGGGAGGTAGGGTATACAGCTACTCTGTACGTGAGGTGGCTACCGGGAGGTAGGGTATACAGCTACTCTGTACGTGAGGTGGCTACCGGGAGGTAGAGTATACAGCTACTCTGTATGTGAGGTGGCTACAGGGAGGTAGGGTATACAGCTACTCTGTACTAGATGTGGCCGCCCGTACTAGTAAACTTTTTAATGCATCTCTTTCTTACACAACATTTCTTTAAAAGTAACATACAATATTTTTTTGCGTACAAGTTTCATGTCACATTAATGTTACAGCTGGGAAATCTACACGTGAAACTGCGATACTGTATATTTCAGACTGTGAACCTGGCTGGACTGGAGACGATTGCAACAGCCAGTGTCACTGCTATCTGGGTTTTGCCTGTAATGGAACTGAATCTTGTCCGTATGGGTGTGAGCTGGGATGGGCTGGTCACAAATGTGACAGACGTAAGTAGTAAATACTTACATGTTCAACTTTGTATTACATATTCGGCAACATTGTAATTGCTGAACGGTGTTAGGCCTAGTTGGTCAACCACGGGAATTAACGGTGTACAGACACGTATAAAAGTATGTATAATTGTCTCTTTTCACAACCGCCCAGCAATTTGTCGGGGAGAAAGATTGTTTGGGAACACCACAAAGAAAAGGGCTATCAGATCATTATCAGATGCTGTGCACAAGATTGTTATATTTGGACTACTTCTATTTTTCAGGACTAGATAAACCTACAGGTAACAATGCCTTTTCTTCTATTCATTTGATTTTGTTCAGTACAATTGCATGTAGGAAGGTACTGTCGTGTATAATGGAAGTGACACTAAACCAACAGCGTGGTTGAATGCATGTGTACAATGAAATCAGAAAAGCAGTGCAGATATTAAGGATGAATAAAATATGAACATATTTTATTTTATTATTTTTGGAATAATCCTATTGAAACTCGAAGTCATGTGAGGGTACGTGTATATATACTTTAATGCACTGATGATTGATTGGCACACAAGTCTTAATACAGTCTCCGGGGGAACGACCGGGCCAGACGTCCAAAGTGCCGTAATTAGCTGTCCGGGCTAAATGATTTTACCGGCAGCTCAAAAGGGTATAATCTGAGTAAGTGAGTGAGTTTAGTTTTTAGCAATATTCCAGCAATATTAAGGTGGGGAAATGGGCTTCACACATTGCATCAATGTGGGGAATTGAACCCGGGTCATCGGCGTGACGTGCGCACGCTTAACCGCTGAGCTACCCAACTGCTCCTATATTCTGAGACTTGGGTTACTTCGAGGTATTCAGCTGACACCCTTGATAAAACTGGAGTACTGTTCATATCGATGCTAAACCCAATTCACTCACTCACTCAAAGTCCTCAGAATCAGGGTTATATGATATCCATGGTGTTTTATAGCATGTTTATGTCCTGTAGACGGGGAGTATACACAATATGTTTACATCACCTGATTTCAGTGTCCTTCTACTGCATGAAAGAAAAAGAAGGCTACTCTCTGGTTGTTTCCTTCGACACGAAAGGGGTTCACTTCACGAATATCGGAGCCGTGAACGCTGAAGGGGAGGTCAGCCCAAAGTGTGACAAGAAAACATTTGTCTGGCTCGATGGGGAATTGCGTTTAAAAGTTCAGATTCAAAACACATCGGGAGTTTGGGAATCGGATTGTCCCACAGAAACGGTAAGAATGTAGGATATATCCGAGTCCTCTGATTGTAAGTGTACGTGTTTGCACACAGGACATGTACAGGAGTGAGTGAGTGAGTTAAGATTTAAAGTCACATCGGCAATATTTCAGCCATATCGTGACTAAAACTAGTTCTAAATTTATAATACATACATAGAATAAATAAAACCCTGTCAACGAAGGACAGTAAAACCACTAGATTATCACAGATTGAGTTAAAACTAGCTAGCATATATCTTTAAAAGTAGAAAACTATTTTGGGACAATACAATGTAAAATTGGGCTATAAATCGCCAACAACTGAAGTTAGATCACCATACTAGGGACCATTGGGACTTACAGTGCCTTTGCTACCTGCATGGACCCTAGTTGGATTTACACCATCCCTTCAGCCGCTGGCGATTGTAGGACATCTTTAGCCGAAAGTTAAAGGAACAAATATACTACGTTTAAAAATCGGGTACGCAAAAATTTAACTTTGAAAGTTTTGGGGCTTACGTACCCTCTCAGGAGGACAATAATTTTACAATACTTCAACCCCCTTTGAGGGTACAACCACTAACAATCTCAGTCACTAATTCAAACTACCAATAATAACATATATATCTATTTACAAATACATGTACAGGAAGCTAAGTATAAATGTTGGATATCAGTAGTGTAGATACGAACAACATATCGATTTGTCAGATGAATGAAATACGTTTCACCACAGTGGACTGCCGGACCTTAGTCCCTTTTCTATTTTTTCCACATTGAGCTGATCATGTTCATGTTCACTTTCTAAATGATATAACATATTCTGACCTCATTGTCTGTGTAAATAATGATATAACATATTCTGACCTCATTGTCTGTGTAAATAATGATATCCAGAAATCGGATCTAAAACATATGTAAGGTTTCTATCGGCCCCCTGCAAGTACAAATCTTACTCTGTTGCCGAGCAATGAGAAACCATAGATGAAATGGCAAAATCAAAATCTTACGATATCTATTAGGCATTTTCTTAGGTGTTATTCCCGTTCATATAACACAGATCAGTAAGGGGGTCCTGAAATGGACCTTCAGGCTTCAGAAGAAGACAGACGTAGTATCGTTTGAAGATGAGGACCTCCAAGTCCACTGTGATCTGTCCGAAGCTGATGTTGCATACGATGACACTGACAGACTCCCGATAGAGAAGTATGTATTTTGTGTAACCGCCCAGTGCTGAGAGAAAATGTAATCAAAGATATACAGTTATCTTCCACTTTGTTTGCGTATGAACCTAAGTATGTCAGTGGCGTGGATGGATACTGAAACCAAATCACTCGAATGGAAACATGAACGTATGGTTAGGAAATATTGGAGAGTACCACTATTTTTTGGCTTGTTTCAGTATACGAGTGAGGTCCTTAACGTCTGCCACCAAGACAAGGGTCAACGTTCGGACATACCTTGCTAATCCTCGCAGTCTGGAACCGGTCACAAATGTCAGCCTTGGTGTTCCAGTCAGACTGGTGGTCAAGCTTCCAGAAGGTTTGAATAATTCAAGCATGTTGTTATTCGCAGGCTAAACACGTTTCACTGCCCGGGTTATGTGTAAAGCTTACTGTTTTCGGATAATTGTCCCCAAGGAACAAACTAGTCAATTAAGCATACTGATAACGACCATTAATGTAGTCACATGATAAGAGGACCTTTGGAACTGCCAACAGACCTGCGTCCCGTAACTTGTTGCAATTTGGATGTGGCATTTAACCTGGTATGGAGGTACAAACTGAAATCAGGGGGAGAAGTTTCCAAAGGCAGGACAGGTTCAGAAGGTTTGGAAAACACACCTTTAACTTGTCCATCTTCTTGTTTCAGGGAATGACGTCGTCAATCCGTTGTTTTACCCCTGGAGCTGTCAAGCTGCATCTCCAGATGGAAAGGTTACTGTACGACTGACTGACGACTTAGGGTAGGTACGAAGACGGCGAAGCTCCCCTGAACATACTTTAAGACATGTAAAGGCAATACATTGTCATGTGTTGGATATAGAACATTATTTGGAATCAAGTTGGTAAAAGTAACATATTCTTTGTTACTCACTACAGACAGGAACAGGAAAGCTTGACATGAATGATTTTCTCATGATGTAATAAAACGTTGCTAATGTTTTAGCTTCTGAAAAGTCCCAACAACGAGGTTTATTCCATGTATAGTGATATTATATCTATGTGACTTCAATGTGTAAGAAATTTAGTTTCCATGCACATATGATGCTTTCCTAGCAGCAGCAATCGAGTGAGCATTATTAAGTTCTACCTCTTCGGTTATATTCAGGAAACAACGTAAGGAATGGACTTTAGTAACTGTTTAAAGACACGTGTTTCTTGCTACAGTGTTGAGGCTCGTGCATCATTCTACAGATTCGACCTTAACCCAAATTCGACGTAATTTAGTCAGAGCCACAAGGCCTCTTTTACCGTGCCCCTGTTAAAATTGTTCAAGATGGACAGATCTATCGACAGATCTACATCAGTGATTAATTTATTCTGCTTAGAATACTGGTGTGTCTAAATAATATTACTGAAAACAGACAATCTTTGAGAGGTGAAGATTTAGTTATTCTCTTTCTCATATACGTTGGCTGTTCATGTTGATGTGAAAATTAAGGTGAGTGACAGAGTGTAACGAAGATGGCGTTCCATGGACTCAGTGTTTACATCTACTTCTGTTTTTATTACCTCCTCCAGATGTTCTCTGAGGGAAGACATCGGCTTCGGAATAATGGACAAAGTCTCTGATGTGGTCCAGTCGGAGGTATTCCCACTGTTTCAGCTGCCAGGCTACACAGAAGTGGTGTTCACTTGTAATCTTGTACCCTCGTACAAATTCAGAAACGAGACACAGGTTGGTAGACACGTATAGCAGAGTGAGAGTCAATATCGTTTTATGCTACAAAGTAACCCAGTTATATCACTGTGGACTGCATGAAATCACCTTGACCTGGCAGTAGTTGCTGTAAAATATGAGCTAGCATTCTCCACATATGGTCCTTATTTTTCAGTCTCATGATCAGTCTATGGTGTTGGATACACAACTTGAAAAATCATGCAAAACTTTATTTGGAACAAAGTGTCTGTAACAACTGCTCTCATGGTTCAAATCCACCCGTTTTCAAAGTCTGCTAAGAACGAACCTCTTGAAAATGTCTACAAAAAGCGGTGGTCTTTTGGTCTTATTGTCATTTGGAAATCAAATTATATCAGAATGTCGTACGTATAAACACAATCATATGCCATTTGTACAGTCAATCATTTGATAATGTCAAACACTGTCCTGCCAGGATCACATATAGTGAATCATATCACAATGTCGCACAGTGAATAATATCAGATTCCCAAAAAGTGAATTACACGTCATAATTTGTATACGAATAATTATATGGTGTTTTTATTGAATCATTGATGTCACACAGGGGAATATATCAGGATCTCATTAATGAGGTCATACGTCATATGATGATTTGTATCAGAAGGTCATCGATTTGATCAGGATATCATGCAATGAATCACATCACGATGTCACGCAGAGAATAATATCAGGATGCCATACAACGAATTGCGTCATGCAATTGGTCATACAGGTGTACGGATGTGGCTGTCATACACTGAATTATACGGCATTAAATTATTTGTATCAGAAGGTCATCAACTTCCTCAGTTGAGGATCCCATGCAGTATATTATACTGGGATATGTACAAATGTACAAGATCCTGGTTCGATACCCCACATGGGTACAATGTGTGAAGCCCATTTCTGGTGCCGTGATATTGCTGGAATATTGCTAAAAGCGGCGTACAACCATACTCACTCACTCACTCACTCACTACAAATGTACAAAGAATCATTTCAGAATATCATACAATGACAATATACCAGGGCACCATATAATTAAGAAATACAGTTCGCTCTACCACCATGTATAGTGTAATAAAGCACACTTTCGCCCTGAACTATTATAGTTAAAGCACGAGGACGCTAATTTGTATATTATTTGAGAAATGCCAGAGTAATTTAATCTAAGGCAGTTAAACCTTCATATCATAAATAGCTGATAATACCATATCATTATGTAAGACAAGTTATTCATGATTTCTAACAGTAGCAGGGTGTTGTTTTCAATAGAAACATGTTTTGTAGACATGGTGTGTTGTTTCAACAGGACTGTAGCTCTCGTGGATGAGGCTTCGACTGGACAAAGTACATGGACGATCATATGGAAGGTACGTGTATAATCAGAACATGTATGCCGGTCATTATATCAGGCAATACTAAATATTTAAACAAATCGTCATTATTAACTGAATCGGTAAACAGATATAAACCGTTATCCATGATGTTTATTTGTTTCTGTCATTTTGTGAATTTATTTCAGGTCATAACAGTGAACTCTTCACACAAGCCAGTCCACAACTCTGACACAGCAGCCATTCCAAACCCTGCAATCTGTTGGCCACTCACATCGTTGATAACCAAACCTCTATGCTCTAATTAAACATCAGTATCACCTTCTCCCAGTCAGAAAGAGTCATGTTATGTCTGTTTGTCAGCCGTTTGACGCCAATGCCTGTGCTTAGCTCTCGTCGGAATTGCAGAACTGTTTGCTGATATCGCAGGAACTGTCAGTCAGAATCCATATTAGAACGCAACAGAGACGTTCCTGATCATATTCAATGGAAAATCAGGCGAAACTTCATGCCTTCACCCAATAAAGGCCAGGGTGTAAACCTATACAAACCCCATGGGTTTCCAGTTAGTCTCTCATTGGCTACTCATCAGCAGTGTAGATGTTATCTGCTCATGACTGTAGCGGCTATGGGCGAATGGTGTTGTCAAAGGTTCACCTTGAAATTTACTACCAGATTCTACATGTGCCGTATAGTAAATGTCTGACAAACATTTCACTATATGTCGATGACTAGAGAGATTAATTTGATTAGCATACATAAAATGTCAAATTTTACTTATGTTCTGAAAATAAAATCTTCAACATGGTGATGTCAGCGTCAAATAAATGTATAACCCTAGCCCTGCACAGCATGGAGTCGGGGGAGTGGGGATGGGGTCATTTTCGCAGTCTGTCTGAAATACGAATTCCTGCATGAAACGTTCAACGCACTCACAGGCTTCTTTCTATGTAAACGCACCTCCTCTGGCCACCTGACTGATTCAGTGGGAACTTCAAATCTGGATTTTAAAAAGAGAAATACATTTTCAAAATGTATGTTTTGTAGGCTGTCTGCATCCCTACATTTTGCCGTGTGTCTTCGTAGCATACTTCTTTACACTATGGCTTAATTTCATCATGAGCCGGTAAGTCACAGTTGTGATATTTCATGGAATGTACTTGAAAGACAGCTTTGACAAGGCAAGGAGGCCACATCTGAGTGTAGGTTTGTTACAAAGAACATCCTACAATGACAACTGTATTTCTGCTCGGATCCAGACAGGTCGTTTGGCGAGGAACTTTGAGATTTACTCACCCGAACTGGAGACAAAGAGATAATTAGAACACTTCATCTTTTTCAGGCTTTGATCTGTGGCTGCAACTTTATAATATCCAAGATATTTTTTATGGATTTAAATGCTTCTTTTTTCTTCCCACACAACGTTTCGGGACCATTACAGATCCCTTCGTCAGGTTCCAATTCTAAGTGGGGAGGGGATCAAGCTACCCTCCTACATCTATATCGATCACTGGTACGTTCCAAACTTGATTATGGTTCCATCCTTTATGGTGGAGCCTGCAAAAGCAACCTCAAACTATTAGATTCTGTCCACCACCAAGGTCTAAGACTTTGTCTTGGGTCCTTTAGAACTTCTCCTGTTGACAGTCTCTACGTCGAGGCCGATGAGCCATCTCTTACACAACGCCATATAAAATTATCCATGCAGTATGTAGCAAAACTATATTCTAATGAGTCAAATCCTGCATTTAACTGTGTTTTTAATCCTCTTAATGAAGATCTGTACAACAAAAAGCCTTCTCTTGTTCCGTCTCTTGGTTTGAGAATTAAACCATTCATTTCTACTGCCGGCATTAAGCTGGAAAATATATCTCCTTCCCGTCTTCTTTCTCCTCCTCCTTGGCAGCTGGTGAGGCCTGAAGTTTACCTAACTGTGACAAAGTTTAAGAAATCTGTAACTAATGAATTAAAATATAAACAAGAATATAATCAATTAAAAAATTAATATAATACATACAAATCCTTATTTACAGATGGATCCAAGGATGGTGGCGCGGTGGCATGTGCCACTGTCATTGGATCCAGAACAATATCTGCTCGACGACCAAATAACAGCTCTATTTTCACAGCTGAAGCTAATGCCATATTAACAGCTCTTAAATATATTAATAAATACCGTAAATATAAACAATACATAATCTTTTCCGATTCTCTTTTCATTGTATTCAGGCTATTAAAAATCTTTCTTGTAAACATCCACTTTTATTAGAAATTCTTGAATTGTATAATGATCTTGCTACTGGCCAATGCGATATCGTCTCTTGTTGGTTACCCAGCCACGTTGGCATTTCTGGGAACACAATGGCCGATCTTGCTGCTAAGGCAGCACTCAACAAATCTGTGACACCACTTCTGATCCCATACTCTGATTATAAAGCTGCTATTAGATCTTATATCCGTGATCTGATGCAAAAGAAGTGGGACACCCAAGTAGATATCAATAAATTACATGACATAAAACCAACTACCGGTTACACCTGCTTGGGTTGTCAGTCCAGATTTGAAGAGGTCATCATAAGACGATGTCGTATTGGCCACACAAGATATACTCATGAGTACCTATTAAAAGGTGAGGATCCTCCGTTTTGTATCCCTTGTGATGAAAGAATCACGGTCAAGCATGTCCTGCTTGACTGTGTTGAATATTCCATCACAAGGGATATCTATTTCCAATCACAAACTATGAAGGATCTTTGTAGTAAAATAAGTTCTCATTTAGTTATTGCATTTTTAAAAGAATTAGACTCGTTAACTGATTTGTAAATAGATACATATTTTATTATTGGTAGTTTAGATTAGTAACTGAGATTGTTAGTGGCTGTACCCTCAAAGGGGGTTGAAGTAGCGTAAAACTATTATCCTCCTGAGAGGGTACGTAAGTCCCGAAACATTCAAAGGAAATTTAAATTTACCAGCTGTTTTAAATGTAGTATTCTTGTCATTTTAATATTGGCGAAATTTGGTTTCAATCGCCACCGGCTGAAGGGATGATATAAATCCAACTAGGGTCCATGCAGGTAGCAAAAGTACTGTAAGTCCCCATGGTCCCTTTTTTGTTGATCTACCTTCAGTTGTTGGCGATCTATAGTTGTAATTGTGATATTCTAGTTCTTTACTGTCCTTCGTCGACAGGTTTTTATAGTATACATCTATTCCGTTTCGGTGTCACATGTGTTCTCGTCACGATATGGCTGAAATATTGCCGATGTGACGTTAAATAATACCTCACTCACTCACTCACCCTTCGTCAGGTGACGGTTTCATAAAAAAATGTCTTGGACGTATATATACAACTTGCACTTACTTCCACGATTGTTTGATCACGTTAACAATTCAGTAAAACTTTCAAAACGTCCATGGTTGACATATGAAGGACATTTGTAGATTTGACGCATCATGGCATAACTGATCACTGATGCAGTTCCTTTTTTGAGGAAGAGGAAATTCACAATGGGAAAATCGAAATCAGACCTCTTGTGGTAGTGGTAGTGGAGGAAACAGTCGTCGAAGCAGTAGTGTTGGTTTTGTGGTGGTAGAAGTTGAAATAGTTACATTTGATAACAAGAAGGGTATCAATTCAGTCTGTCAGGATGTAGGACAGGTTGTGAGAAAGGTCACAAGTAATCATCGTCTCTATAACACCGGATGCTTTGTATTTAAAAATAATGTAATGTATAGCTTATATCATTATCCATACGGTGGAACATTAGTCATGCCATCTTTTCAATATGTGTTGCACTATGTGCACTTTTGCCTAGCAACCACATTATTTCGTCGTCTGTGAGGTAATTAAACAATGGAACGTGACGTCAATTGACAGGGCCGTCACACTTGCTTACCCTGTTTTACTGCACAAATGTACATGAATAAAATGGATAATAAAGAAATGATTAAAATTCGAGCAAGTGTGTCATGACTTATACGAAACGCGTGCAAAATTATGACTCACTTGCCCGTGTAATAATCTCTATATCCGACACACTTGGTGCACACTTATTCCGGAACACCATCCTGACCAGGCCAAAATGCACCAAGTAGCTCCACTTGTACCTAAGCGAATCACCTTGAACACTAGTTCCACATGTACATGGTGCACGTCAAGAACTATACCTGGAAATAACACTCACGAGGTCACATGTTCTACATGTAGACGGTAGACCTAAACCTTCCCCGGAAATTCAGCCCAACAAAGAGTTCTTTATGCATCAGTTGTGACTCCTTCTACCATGAGGTATGAACATTTTACGTCTACATGCGCTGTATCATGTGATCTGATGTGATCATGGACTGGCACACGTGCATTTCCGTTCAGGAACCTGTTTCATGTTGGCAGAGAAAGTGATGCTGCTGTAATCCAATTTTGTTGAAGTTGCAGTTCTACTCTGACGAGGTGATGTTCAGTAGGAGTATGTTTGAAATACATATGGCAAACACACTTGTGTCTGAACCCGTTAAACAACCATTTTCGTATATTATGTTGGGGGCAATGTGGACCATAAGTCTCACATACCTCTTAGAAGTGTTTTCATGGGTTATTGATTAATGATGTGTCCTCCTACCTCTGTGGCCTAAGATGACGTCATCATGCTTGTGATGAGGGCTGACAACCCGTGTGGGTTATGTCCAGATCGATATTCCTAAACTTAATGCGCCGTACATCATAATATCAATATAAAAAAACTACCTTCACTCCATGCCTATACCAAACTGATTGTGGTTTCTCCAACCACGAATAAAGGGAGACATGATAAGCTAAATAAGTTCGTTCTTTCTCTTCGCGATGTCTGCATGTACAACATCCCGGTAGACATTGACGGTAAACCTCACATATTCACGGATATTAACATCTGGAAGTTTCAAAAATGCTTTAAAGACCGAATTATGATGATACATACATTGTCTGACATGTTGAAATAAGTAATGGTATTACCCTCTAATGTACACATTTGTTTGTTTGTTGTTTAACGCCACACGTCATATTCAAGCTATATGGGGTGTATTCCCATACTGCCTACAGGTTAAAACAACATGATACGGTCCAGTGATCAGGAAGTGAAGTTAATGGGAATACACCGATCTGACCTGTTCTACCCCTGCTAAAATGAACTTGACCAGTTAGTTGGTTAATGAACAGACCTGTTCTATGGTGTCTTCCCACTCTGCTTACACAAGGTTTAAAAAAATGACAAGTGTTGGTTGGTAAGACATCTTTATTCATTTTGAGAATTCTCAGTCTTTACATGGAGACATGGATATATCATGAAAAATTGATAAGTTTTACAGTCTTTTACTGGTTTTACAGTCTTTTACTGGTTTCACAATTACACACAACTGACAAGGATGTCCATTTCGTTGCCATGGACTCCGATATGTGACCCAGATAAAATGTATTTGATTATTATTGTTTTGGTCGTATAGTATTCTTCTGTATATGTTATTTATTAGATCTGGTCTTTATGTTGTAGAGTAATTTTTGAGAGCCTGTATGGAGCTTAAGGAATCCGTAAAAATGCAGATGGTAGTGTTTGTTGGTCAGATGTTGCTTGCAAGGCCTGAACTATGGCTGCGAGTTCTGCTGTGAAGATACTGGAGTTTGCCGGAAGGATAGGGTTGTTTAAGGCTATTTTGGGTATGTAGATTAAAACCAGTAGTACTCTTCTGATGTCAAGCACATTCTAACAAATCCCGAATTAATTAAACCACTCACTAAATATCTCATTCATACAAAGTTATTCCAAACAATCTAGCAACAAAAACAATAATACCACTTTTTATCATTTTAAAAAATGTTATAAATGTGTATATATGTTCTTTAACTTTATAACCATTTACTACACCACATCTATATTAAATTGAAAATCTCTAATACTCTTTTACCTATTTCATATTGTTTTCACCTTTTAATTCGGCATCCCATTCAAATTTCCTTAATACTCAGTTGTTAGGTTTTTTTGGTAGTAACACCACTCTTTTCAAAATTCTATTTTTCCCCTCATTTCTTAATAAGTGTACTACCCTGTCGCCGAAATATCTTAGTTGTGCGTGCCACATTAAATAAAGCAAATAACTACTACTACCTTACTCCAAACGACACACCCCTGCTTCATTGCTAATTGGGCTGTTCCATTATTCTGGAGGGCAAAATATCATTTCCCACGCTGCCTACACTATTTTTGATGACGCATTGTGGACAAGCGCTAAACATGACAAACTCCGTTGATATTAATGGAAGTTTAAATACATGATTATGATAACTTTACCAATTATGTTTAATGTGTCCAAATTCGACATAATAGCATTCGTATTAATCCTGAGTTATTGTCGTGTAAAGCCTAACAGTGGGCGTCCGTGAAAGCTATTATTTGCTTCAAGTTAATGACGATTGGTCTGTCTCTCCAGCATACCACAGAAGGTTGTTCAACAGTGTGCTCGTACACTTCAACAGAGATGGGTGTTGTTCTGTTGCTTACTTTGCTTGTCTTTCTTCCCAACACGGCTGACGGTGGGAGAAACCAAGGTATGAATAAGGGGATATTTGGCTGCGATTATTCATTTAGGTATTTATTCATTTATTTTATTTTCAGTCACAAACGTATATCACCATCTACTATCTTTAACTTTGAGACCCATGAAGGTTAGGGTTAAGAACTGATCTTCAGTAACCCATGCTTGTCGTCTCTGAAGAGGCGACCAACGGGATTGGATGGTCAGGCTCGATGACTTAGTTTACACATGCCATCGTATCCAATTTGCGTAGATTGATGCTCATACTGTTGATCACTGGATCACTGATTATTTACAGACCGATTACCTTTTTTTGACCGACACCTGGTAGCTGGAATATTGCTGAGTGCGGCTAAAAAATAAACTCACTCCTCACTCTTTAACTTTGAAATTGTTCATTGTCACCCATACGAAAGAATGGGATTCATCCATGACCACATTTTTTACAATGTGTATTTATGTGAACTGCATCCGTCCGATATTGAACCTTGTTCATTGTCACGCATGATATAACTTTATTTATTTAATCATTGAATATATGGCTGACAACATAATATTTTGCACTGCATATTTTTCTGCATCCCTACACGATTGGATCAGATTACCTCGTCAGGTAACAGATTTGTTCTGGTGCAGATTGTCTGAGTAGGTTGCTCTGCAGGACATGCTAACACTTTTGCGAAAACTTGGGTTTTGACTTAAGTTAAAGGTTTGTACTCAAATTTGAGAAAAACGCAGGAAAATGCATTTCCCAGAAAGCGATATTAAACTCAAACATAGTAGACAATTTAAGTTCAGTATATAGGTTACCTGAGTTGGTTTGGCTGTTTGATTTTTAAAATGCAGTTGAGTTAGAAATTCAGCTGTTTCAAATTGTTAAACTCAGTTTGAAATTTGAGTATAAACTTAAGTTTGTTTTAGAAATCAGGTTCTGGTGTAATTACTGATTCCAGTGATCCATGTATGTCATCGTCATCCCTGGTGTGCCTTGGACGCCAATTGCTTGAATCTGTGTAGGGGGTAGGTATATCTATTCTCAGTTGTTCTCATATACAGTCTGCCCCGAAGGCTGGAGAAAGGGGGGTTCAAAGTGCTTCAAGCTTGTGGACGAAAAAACTGAGACACCTGATGCGCATAGGCGGTGTAAAAATAACCATAAAGCCTCTCTAGCCGTGATTGAAAACGAAGCGGAGAATAAAGTAGTTCAAGGTATGTATAAATGTATTGTAGATGCATTGATACTCGCAAAACACACTGATACTGGTTATGCGGGTACATAATCGATACTGCAGTTTGGGTAAGGCATGTGCATGTACTATGTCTGCAGTGAAAACATTTAATATGAACTTCAGTTGTATCAGATATACAAATTCTGACTTTTTTGCAAAGTTCAACGAAAATGTCCCATGTGATCATAATTACTCTCAAGGTAAACAAATATATGTCACATGAAAATGTTCCGAGTTTGTTCAAAGATGTCTCTCATGAACGAAACCATTTCTAGATCTTCTCGGTGGTCAGTCGAGTGCATGGATCGGGCTACGTCGCAAATATGGAAGTTATAAATGGAACAACGAATATGAGGTAAGAAGAAATGATTGTCACCAATCACCAAAGATATCGAAGTAAAGTGCTAGTTTGATATTATTTTGGATATCACTGGCATAAAAGGAAAGCAACAGCACTATAATGGGTTGGATTTTGATTCTATGTTTCAGATGGATTTTTATAATAACAAAACTATAGATATAAAGATGCAATTTATATTATAATTAAGTGGAACTAACTGTCTTCTATTATATTAACTGAGTGCTGGCAGTAGCTTCTCACGAACATGCGTATTTGACTGTAACAAATGTTTAATTTGAGATTACATATTCTCAGTAAAGTACAAATTCAATTTGGTTTTTGTCAACACTCTCCAGCCCACAAATTCGGTACCCGTAAAGATCAGGGTTAGAATAGGTCTTCAGCAACCCATGCTTGTCGTAAGAGGCGACTGACGGGATCGGGTGTTCAGGCTCGCTGACATGGTTGACACATGTCGTCGTATTCCAGTTGCGTAGATGCTCATACTGTTGATCACTGGATTGTCTGGTCCAGGCTCGAGTCCTCCCCCATCCTCTTCTTAATTTGGAGATGTGATTGATGTCCCGGAAATGCCAGATTTTGAATTACGACTGCTGTAAACACTTAAATTGGAGAGTTGTTCAAAGACAGCAATGCACACACAAACTTATGATCACCTGTTTCAGTTTCAGTACAGTTATTCAAACTGGGCTTCTGGTCGGACTTACGGAGAGTGCGTGATGATACTCAGTACTGGTGAATGGCGACGATCATATTGTTTTCTTGACCGCCCCTATGTGTGTTTCAAGAAAGCTGGTAAGCTATGCACAACAGTATATCAGGCGCACGTATATTAACCAGTATGCCAATCGGCACAGCTGCCAACTACTAAAGGTCGCTGAATGATTAATATAGCCACATGCCCACTAGGGGAGAGAGTTGTTGCAATTATTATGAGCAAGTGTTTGATATAGTCTTTTTCATACTGCGAGGCTTCTGATGAAAATCGTTCTCTGGATCCATAATCCAGTTGGATCCATGAAATTTTCTTTCATTAGGAAAGTTGAACCCTGGTAGTTCGGCTACCTGCAAGTGATCAGGGCATGCTATGCCGAGAGACTGCACAACATGTGCTAAACGAACAACATCGTTGCCAACGTGTTTGAGAAACAGATATTCTGTACCAGTACTGGAGACCGGAGGTAGGGTGAACAAGAACTCTGTCCTAGACGTGCCGCCAAGAGGTAGGGTATACAGATATTCTGTACCAGTAGGATGTGGAGACCGGAGGTAGGGATGGTACAGGAACTCTCTCTAGTCCTAGACGCCGCCCGGACGGAACTCTGGTCTAGGGTATAACAGATATTCTGTAGTAGATGTGGAGACCGGAGGTAGGGTCAGCAGGAACTCTGTCCTAGACGTGCCGCCAAGAGGCAGGGTATACAGATATTCTGTAGTTAGATGTGGAGACCGGAGGTAGGAAGTACAGGAACTCTGTCCTAGACGTGCCGCCAAGGCAGGGATGTACAGATATTCTGTAGTAGATGTGGAGACCGGAGGTTGATGGTGAACAGGAACTCTGTCCTAGACGTGCCACAAGAGGCAGGGTGTACATATATTCTGTAGTAGAGAGACTGGAGGTAGGGTGTACACGAACTCTGTCCTAGACTGATGCCGCCAAAGGGTGGGGGTATATATATTCTGGACGTGAATACCGGAGGTAGGGTGAACAAAGAACTCTGTCCTAGACATTGCCGCCCGGACGCAGGGGGTGTACAGATATTCGGTACTAGATGTGGAGATCTGGAGGGTCATGGTACAGGAGCTCTGTCCTAGACTTGCCGCCAAGAGGTAGCCCATACAGATATTCTGTACTAGACGTGAAGACCGAATTGCAGGGTGTACAAGAACTCTGTCCTAGGTGTGCCGCCAAAGGGTAGAGTATACATATATTCTGTACTAGATGTGTGAGGTGGTGTCTACATATTCTGTACTAGACTCTGTCAGGAACTCTGTCCTAGACGTGCCACCCAAGGCAGGTGAGATATCCATATATTCTGTAGTAGATGTGGAGACTGGAGGTTGATGGTATAGGAACTCTGTCCTAGACGTGCCGACTGGAGGCAGAGATTTACAGATATTCTGTAGTAGATGTTGAGACTGGAGGTAGGGTGTACAGGAATACCAATAACTCCAACCATCTGCTTGTTTGGCGGCTTTCGACTCCCAGGCCTGGTCCTCCGTATCGTATCCTAATTTGGCAGATCGATACTCAAGCAGTCTGATTTGTCTTGATTATTTAGGGATAACTGTTACTTTGACGAATTGGGGACGTATACCGGTGGTTATATAGCCGCCAATTGTAATTTGGGATACTATTTTGTCGTTTTTAACACAAATTCCACTCATTTTAGCTGGATAGGGGAGTTGATTGACCAACGGCTTTTGGGTAAAATGATTGTCCTTGCAGAAACAATAATGTAAAGGATACATAAAAGGTTTCAGTGAATCGGTTTTCAAATTGCGACCGTATATGCTGATTATACGGTCGGAAATTTAGCAGTGACCAATCAGAACTCGTGTTACATAACAATTGATTTTTAAATATACTGCCGTTCTGAGTTGGATTCAGCTAAACAAATAAACAAATTTTTAAAGTGCACTAGCTGTATATTTTTCAGACTGTGAACCAGGCTGGACTGGAGACAGATGTGACCGCCAGTGTCACTGCTACCAGGGCTATGTCTGTAATGTGTAACTTACGATTGCCCGCATGGATGTGAGCTTGGTTGGGCTGGTGACAAATGTGATAGACGTGAGTAGTAAATACTAGCAATTCCAACTTTGTATTACATATTCCGCAACAGTTTTAATTGCTGAACGGCGCTAACTTCTATTTGATTCAACCATGGGAATTAATGGTGTACAGAAATGTAATATGGATGTGAGCTGGGATGGACAAATGTATGAAAGACGTGAGTGACAAGTAAATGCTACCTGTCTTACCTATGTATTATTACATATTTAACAACATTTACATTTGATGAACTATTGATTGATTCTGTGCTCCGTATTTGATAGCTGTACATAAATACATGAAATAGAGAAATTCAATGAAAACGAATACCCATTCTGGACTATCCATTCAAAACAAAAAGTCCGTTTGGTTTTAAAGGAAAAATAGTTCAGAATCTGCAAAAATAGGAATGGATCACTGAAAATCAGTGGTGACATCAGCTGTTCTTTGAACGGGTACAGATGTCCCTATCAACCGAATGTTTCTACGCCTGACACCACACAGCAACGCTCCAGGTATACTACAGTGGTCTGTCAACAAACCGGACAATCAAGTGATTGATGAACCGAAAGTACCAGTCCGATGGTTTTGAATTACGACTGTTGTGTAGATATACAGAGCTTCCGATGTTCATATGTTAGGGGGCAAAACGTTTGAGAAATAGATTTTGTTTTACAAAGCATTAGATAGGTTTATGTTATGTTTACGTGTCTCGTAGTTCAGACATCTGACAACTGTTCAGTAATTGAAGGTATAAAGCCCGGGAGAATGTATACATGTGTACAACTTTTCGCCATGTCCCTGGTCAAGGACTGGGTGGGACGAACACAATACACAAAGATAAAACGGACATCCAGATCAATTGTCAGATATACAAATGACAGTGTTCCAGTCTAGTATTATTGGATTTTAAATACATACGTTATGAAATTGTACTGGATGCTCCAAAATATGGTAAACATTTATACCGAGACTGACGTTTCTTTTTCCAGGCATAGACAAACCTGAAGGTAAGAATATGTTTTCTCCAACTCATGTTTTATTAATTCTTTTGATTCAATGCGATCTTTTACGGCAAGTTCTTTCCACAGTTATTGGTGAATACGTGTATAAAGATAGTTTCTGAGACGAATAACTTTGCATGCTCAAACATCAAAGATGGCACGATGCATATGCACAGTGAAATCATTTCAGGAGAAAACCACGAGGGTTAACATTAAGGGTTAACATTTCGAATTAAAGTGCTCCACATGACCTGTTTGAAACTTGAAATATAGTTACTGATAGTGTAAATAGACCTGAATTTTCTTATAATTTACTGGTAAATAAGTCATCATAAAGTCCACGACGAGGGCACGTGTGGAGTCTGTTCTCCTAAACCTGGAACCTATGATCAGCGATTAGGTGGAGGAGTGAGTTTAGTTTTACGCCGCACTCAGTAATATTCCAGCTTTATGGCGGCGATCTGTACATAATCGAGTCTGGACCAGACAATCCAGTGATCAACAGCATGAGCATCGAGCTACGCAATTGGGGAACTGATGACATAACAACTAAGTCAGAGCCTGACCGCCTGATCCGTCGGCGACTGGAGCCCGCCTCGATTAGATTTTTAGCGCTGTGAGCCCCACGCCCTGCTGGTGGTTTCCACCGAAGTGGTAAATCTAGCTGAGACTTGCTTTATCTCAGGCTTCCCTCCCACAGTAAACAGGCACACGGTAATGTAACAGAACGTTAAACCGAAATCACTCACTCACTCATAAAAATAGAGTAATTTGATATCCTGATTTGTCATGGTGAGGTATTACATTGCGTGTTTTATTGCGTGATTGCAGTGTCCTTCTACCGTATGAAAGATCGGGAAGGCTATACTTTGAACCTTACCATGGACCAGAAAGGCATCCATTTCTCGAACTTCGGAGCCGTGAACGCTGAAGGGGAGATCAGTCCCAGATGTGACACAGAAGAAAGTTTAGCTATCTTGGTTTACATGTACAGATTCAGAAACGTGTCGGGAGTTTGGGAATCGGATTGTCCTGTAGAAACAGTAAGAACGTAGTGTAAAACACAGTGAGTGGGTCTAGTTTTACGCCGCACTCAAGCATGGGTTACTGAAGATCAATTCTAAACCGGATCTTCACGGATTGTGAAGCACAGACCTTCAATAATAGTTCCTCTCTGTCAGTGTGTTTGAGTGTGTATTCGTGTGCGTGTGCATGTGCAGCGTGCGTGTATGTGTTTGTATGTGTGCATGAGCGTGCGTGCGTGCGTGCGTGTGTGTGTGTGTATAACGCTATACTATTAATCGTGTGTATCAGTAGTGTATATAACAACATAACAACCATAAATTGAAAGGGCATGAGCAGAAGGCGTATTTTCTTTGTGGTTATTTTGTGTTCATACAACCTAAAGGTTGGAACGGGTATACTGAAATGGACCTTCAGACTTCAGAAGAATAGTGGCTTGGTGTCGTTTGAAGATGAGGACCTCCCACGTCCACTGTGATCTGTCCGAAGCTGATGCTGCATACGATCACACTGGCAGAGTAGGGGTGGAGGAGTATGTATTTTTTAACTGATCAATGCGTAGAGATAATGTGGCTGCAGATATATAATTATGTTTCACTTCGTATGCGTACGATCCCATATGGTGGCCCCATGTGTTCGCTAAATGTGTTTTATGTTTTAAGTTTGTGTTTTGTTTTTGTTGCGTGTGTGTGTTTGTTTTGTTTTGTTTTGTTGTGTTTTGGCTTTTTGGTTTTGGTTTTGTGATTTTTGTTTGTTGTTTGGGGGTGGAGAATTATTATATCATAGTTCATGCACAAAAATAAAACAATTTGAATGCGTGGAGTAAATAATGTTATAGTGAATGAAGCTTTGATTCAGCCTACATGTTTCAGGATTAGAAGGGCGGACCGTAACAGCTGCCACACAGACTAGGGTCGGTTCCCGGACATACCTAGTATCCTGACACTCTGGAACCAGTCACAAATGTCAGCCTTGGTGTTCCAGTCAGACTGGTGGTCAAGCTTCCAGAAGGTTTGAGTAAATCAAGCATGTTGTTAATCCCAGGTTAAACTCGTTTCCAGGTTATGAAAGAGTGCTATCTGCCCTTTCAGCTAACTGTTTCTGATATTACCACCAGGAAGATATAGTCTATGGTTGCACTGATATGAACACCAATAACGACCATTGATGATTATAATCACATTATGAGCTGACCTTTTGACCAAGCTGCTACAAGACCTGCCCATCAGTCACTGTTGACAATATGGTTGTGGCTATTCAACCTGGTATGTAGATAAAACTCAATCAGGGAAAAGATATCCAAAGGCGGTATAGGTTCAGAGAGATTCAGAAAAACGCACCTATGACGTTGAAGACACGCGTTGTCTTTCCCCACATTTTACAACATCGTCTTGTTTCAGGGGATGACATAGTCAATCCGTTCTTTAATCCTCGGAAATTGTCAAGTTGCATCTCCAGATGGAAATGTCACTGTACAACTGACCGACGACTCAGGAGGTCAGTATGCAGTCACTCACTTCAAATTCACTGACGTGGTGGGATAGTCTAGTGGTTAAAGCGTTTGCTCGTCACTCCGAAGGCCCGCGTTCGATTCCCACATGGGTACAAAGTGTGAAGCCCATTTCTGGCGTCCCCTGCCGTGATGTTGCTGGTATATGTTTGAACATATGTTGTTGATAATGACACGTAATTTAGAACTCTGCAGGTATGAAAACATATTTTACTCTTCGCCTACGTCAACTTGAGGTGCGAATATAAGCATCAAAACAGGGCCGAAGTCCACGTCCTTCTAGTAAAATGACCTGATAAATACACATATTAGTTTCTAACATTAAAAAATACATTTAGAAAAAGTCAGATCTTTAGAATCTGGGGAGTGAGTTGGATTTTTACGCCGCTTTTAGCAATATTCAGCAATATAACGGCGGGGGACACAAATTGGGCTTCACACATTGTATTGAACAAAGGGCCTTCAGTGACGAGGCGAATTCTAGAAGTTTAGAGGTTTGATTTCACCTTTCCATTTGGAGCGCCCCTTCTCATACACAGTGTGGTGTTCTTCGCTGTGATATTACTGGAATATTGCTAAAAGCCCCGTAAAACTAAGCTCACTCACTCTGCCACTTCCACAATGTCTATGTGGCTATTTGCATGAGTTTATATTGGATAATTGTTCCTTTATCGAAGATTAGAGGGCTCCTAAACAATCAAGAACATCACAGGATTGGGTTATATACGACAATGGGGAATCGCTCTTACGCGAGGGTATAATTATCTGTACTTAACATTTGTGAGATAAAAATCTTTCAAATTTGTCTCTACATTTCCTTCAGGAGAATGAGTCTGGAGGAATAGAGGTCATGAAAAAGTCAATGCCAATGTGTGTGTACAGGCGACACCTTTTGAGAGGTGATCATCATTTACGGCGATCAACCGATCAGTTGGTTGATAATCAAGTTGTACATTGTCTCTGTTTTATTGGAATAAAAGGTTTGGACAAATAACTTAAAACTATTACATGAAATAGGTCCCCAGTGTTGTGAAGTCCATTACTCATTTACAGAAACATAGGGCAACTTTTACCATGATGAACTTGTATGGTATACAAATGTACCTATCTCACCAGTAACGTTATCGAGCTTAGAATCAGTGTGCAGAAATAGTTTCCACATTT